ACACACTATATGAAAGCACACTGCTAAAGCCTGAAGATGGAAAAAAAATTCCAATAATTTTTGCAGAATGCATTTCTTGGTTTAAATCCAAATTTCGTCTTAAACACCACCTTCCAAGTACATGTTCCTCAAACAGCACACACACATCTCTCTAAATACTCATGCTCACCCAAAGATGTTTGCTTGTGTTTCAAAAAAGTATTATACAAGTGTTTTAAGTTTTATGTTCTTTCTTTTTAACCATACCTTCTGTTTCACATGCTTAGTAGACTGATGTGTTGTGGGATAATTTCAGATATTTAGCAGATGTTAAACGGATGTGACTTCAAATCTGACAGGAATACTAGCAATTTCATTGGTTTAAATCACATCAAGCAGCTGTGATAAAAAGAACAGTAAATGTATTACTATCCTGTACTTAAAAATACTAATGGCATTGTGCTGAGGCATAGCTCAGAATTTACAGAAAGCAAAAAGATTGCAGTTTTTAAAAGGGGAAGCATTCCCAATGTACCTGAATGAAGCTGCAAAGAGAGAGCCTGAAATTTATCTCTAGCAACATGCTGTTGCTATTTACACCAGGATAAATATATTAAGCTTATTCTTTGCATAGCAGGATAATAAGGCTAATTAAGTACCTCTTATTGCAGCTGAACTTGAAAAAGTACAGAAATACTCACTATAAAAGAAGGAACACTGATTAGAAAATAAGGTACAGCCAAAGAGAGCAAAAAAAATCAGCATTTGCCAATTGCTACTGTGGAGTCTCCACAGCTACCAAGCATTCTCTTTTTTTCCAATCCAGAGGAAATCTGAGGGAAACTCAGATACTACTGTGTGGTAACTGCTGGCAAATGTTACAGATTTTATCGCAACCACTGGCGTACTAACTGCTTGTACTTCAACACCAATTTTTCATTCAACTTCTTCTTCTTTAACTTTATATAAAGAAGCTTAGGAATAGACACTAACTACAAATTACCACATCATGAATAATTTTTTTTAGTCTTTAAACCAGGTCACTGAAAAGAACCATTCCTGATGCAGTACGTTGGATGTTTTAATGACAGTAAGGAAGCCCAACACATTTTAATAGCTATTTAATGAATTCCTATTCCAAGCAAGTCAGCTTCAGCTGAGGTTTCTTGTATGCAGGTACTCTTCAACTTCACAAATTTCCATGTATTAAAGGAAGGCCAAGTATAGTCATCTACTTTGGCTTCCACATAAAATAAAATGCAGGATTCCGTGAAATTCACACTTTTTAAAATTAAAGTGCATTTTTTAGAACCAGTCTACTAAAAGTGGGCAGGAACGAAAAATATACCATGATTTTTCAGTACACAGAGAAAGTATATTGGATCAAATTCCGAAGACCTAATCTGAACGTGTAGCTTTGGCAGTGAGTTCAGTTAAAGCTGAAAAAAAAGAGCCTGATACACAGAAAAACAAAAATATGAAATAAATCTATCAGGACCAGTATGCAACTGTTTTCCACTCCACCCTAGTTACTTTCGTACAGAGGGACAAGTACGTTCTGAGTTTTGACCTTAAGAATGCTTGACTTTTAAGTTGGGATCTGATTATCATGATCGTCACATGTTTTTATGTGCTGCTATCTGATTAATACTCACGCTACACCACTTTTATCTTCCAGAATCAAAGACTGCTCATCCAGAACAAGAAGGAACTAATGACTAGAGTGTCACTTGTAGCTATAGTTCATCACTTCAAATTTTTGTTACATAGATAAATAGAAACCAGTTGAGATGTGCCAAAACAAATGCTGGGGTCAAAGGAATATTCTGCTTGGCTCTGATTTTAACTATAAGCACATCAAGTACTGCAGTCCTAGCTGTTCTTCAAGTCTCTTTTCAAATATATTATTTCATCACCACAGAGCGATAGCAGAGAAGAATAAAATTACTTTATGAAGTTCAGCTTACAATTAGTTGTGCATCTGATTATGCATTATCTCTATTAGTGTTACAGTAATATAACTTAGAAGTAACCCTGGCCTTGTATTAATAAAACCTCACAAAGCTTGCTGAACTATCACAGCAATCCATAGGGATATACAACATGGTATATAATAATACATTTTCAATGCTCAGCTGCACAGAAACAAGTACTGCATGATAAACATACTGACTAGGACCCATTGCAATATACGCTTGTGAGAATATTGTCTCTTGCAAAATGTTAGGAACCGTCAACACATACAATGCTCACACAATGACTAGTGCTGATGTCACTAAGGTGACTAGTGTAACTGGCTGCCTTTGATTATAGGATGTCTTGATACATTACATTTAGTTCCTCCCAAAGACCTATTACTTCTGCTATATTGTCTGTAGTAAATCTGGTTGGTTCACATAATAAATGTGTATTTGGGATTTTCCCTTCCCTGCTTGGTCTACCAGACTGCCTCTTATTAGTCTGCAAACTGCAGAGGACGTAGAATTTTACTTCATAATTAGTTTAGAGAAGGAGGCATCCTACATATAGAACCAGAAAAAAAATTCTAGAAAGATCCTAGGTGGACAAATAAAGATTATGAATAGATTGTTTTGATTTATCACTTAAATGCATAAATTCATAAAGGTGTGGTGAAAAGTTTCGGATTTGTCTGGCACAATTTTTTGTTATTTACAGAAATCATACTTCACGATCATCTTGGCCAAATTGATCTCCCTAATACCTCACTGAAAATTTCAGTTTAAAATCTTAAATTATATTGATATGATTGTAAATTTCACTGCTTGGTGAGAAAGGTAAGAAGTCTGGCTGAAGTACAGTTTCCTAAATACACTGAGAGACTTCCAGACCATGGTCCCTTGTTATTAGAAAACCAAATAAATTTTTTCAAAATTCACACCATTTGTAAAATGGTAAGGGAAGAAAGCAGCAAGCTGTTTCACTCAAACCCTGCTAAAGAATGCCATTTCTGCATGCTTGTCCCAAGAAAGGGGGCCTATGTTCCAGATTTACATGTACATTACGAGGGTTATCATGTCACCCTGAATATTTCTACATTTCATTACACTTCTAAACATGAAAGCAAGATAAGCATGTGGCTGCTGCTTCTGACATGCAAACTTCTTGGCACTATCCAGCAATACTTGCTGAAGTTCAGTAAAATTAATCAGACTTAAACATCACACATGTTTATGAAAGCAATCACTCTTTGAGGAGCTAATATAGACACCTCTCATTTTTTTTTGTGACACAGCATGACTTGGCACACACTTTAGTTTAGTAATCTCAAAAACATTATCATATGAAGTACCTTATTCACTTACACATTAACATATTTATCATCAATGAATGATGATTCCTTCAAAGCTAAGGACTCCTCAAAGAGGCCTCATAATCATGAGAAGGTCACTGTGAGCATCCTTTCTGTGCAGGCAGGGCAGGGAGTATACACTGCTACTAACATAATGTTTTCCCAAGTCTTACTGGATCCCTCATCATAATTCTCCTACTAAAAAGACCCTGGGTACTTGCATTACTCTTTTTTCAGTGCTCTTTCCTCACTCCTGCCCTCTTTCTTCATACTGTTGTCTGTCCTCACTCATCTGCTGATGTCTGTCTCCGTCTCTTCTTTCCCATGTGCTATTGCCTTGAAAAATTACTTCCCTGACTCCTAATAATTCTTTTTTCTCCTTCTCTCTCTCTCTGCAAAGCTGATAAGGAATCCCTGAGGACGAACTGAAATTAATGGTAAACTCTGATCCAGTATATACGGAGAGCAGAAAAGAGAATATTGAAAACAATATTCAGAGAGCAGAGAGCCTGAGTTCAGGCTCTGGTGTGACAAAACAGAAGGGTAAAGAGTCTTTCCAGTGTTGTGACACAATCTCTACCAGGTCCTTTAAATTCAAGAGAGAAACCTGGGAAGATATCTGCTGTCCCTGAAGGAGATTGGCCCTTTAAAGTAACAAAAGTGAAAGAAAAAACTTTCCACTATCTACTGTACAAACAAACATCTACATCATAGTAAGAAAATTATTTAACTAGGCACACAGTGAAATAGACTTCTAGCACCAATTTATATTTCACAGCATATAAACAAATATGCTTTTTTCAAGTGACTAATAATCAGCAGATATTCCTAGAAATTATATATTCATTGTTTTGTTATGTTATGCTGAGGACTGGAAATGGATCTGGTGAGGCCGCTTTCTGCTGTGACTTAAATAAGGACTTAGTACAGGTAAGCTAATCGTCATCAAAATACAGACTATATATAAGGCCAATCAAGAATCTGAATTGCAGAGATTATAGATGGTTCACTGGAGTCTGAACATAAACTGGGTTTACTGGCTAGATTGCTACCCCATGTGATTACATATGTGCGAGAGTGACTCGCAGTGACCCTAAGAAAAACAGCAAGAAAAACATGACTTTGGGGGTTGAATGCTCACTGCTACAATCTGTGAACAGAAGTTGTTATGTGTTTCATTCCTACTGTATTCATGGAAACAGGGCTGTGGGTCTGGGTTTTTTTTTAGTAATGAAACAAACAACTGCCGTAAAAAAATACCCAAGTCTTCTCAGTTTCTCATAGTAACATTATGCAAGATCCTGAAAATTCCTCAAGTCGCAAAGGAGTAACACGATGCAAGAATATTTCAGCATAATCATGTCATTTATTCTGCAACACTTTCCCTGCATATATCCTTCATGCAGATACTTAAGTGCTCATAGTACTTAAGTTTTGCTTTATGAAGATCTACCATGTCACTTTTGCAGTCTACAGTAAGTTTGTAAATTTAGAAAACAAAATTTTGTCTAATCCTATTTGTCAGTACATATCAAATTAAAGAATACCTTTCCCTTCTATCGAGGTGGAAAGATGGAGCAGACATTCATTCACACAGACCAGTTAAAAAAGCACACCATTAACTAGGAAAAACAAAGGCAAAATTACATTTTCTCTATATTTTCCTAAGTAACAGAGAGCATTTTATTGGTGAGACAGAATTCAGACTTACTGTGCATTTGTTCGGCTTCTCTCCTGAGTGGACTCTCATGTGAATCAGCAGTTTATAACGGGCATTAAATGGCTTGTACCTTCGTGGGCACCCTGCCCAGAAGCAAGTGAAGTCTTCTCCCTTCCTCTGGTCTATATGTATCCTCTCTATGTGCCGCACAAGTTCCTCTTGCTGGTCATACAGAGCACCACAGTCAAGCCAGCGACAGCCATGCTTGTCATTGTAATCATCTAGCTCACCATCTTCGTCAAGCAGGGAGTCTGGGGCAGGAGGTGGCACAGGCAGTGGGTGAATGCGACCGGGGAGGCTGTGCGGATGCCGGTGCTGGTGAGCATGGTATGGTGGGGGTGGCCCTTGTGGAGGAGGCGGTGGCAGCAGGAGTGGAGGAGATATGTTGACCGTATGGCCTGAGAAGTCACCCAGCCGTTCATTTTTCAGGACACCCACCGTCTGATTGTCCATGGGTGGCACACCCTGCTGGATCACCATGTTACTTGTGGCGGCCATCTGCAAGCTAGCTTGCTCCAGCTGCTGCATCCGCTGGTATGCACCAGCCCCATTCTCAATGTACCCTGGGAAGGTGGCGTTACCATTAGCCATGAGTAGGCCTTTCTGGGCAGTTGGAATAGAGCAATTTTGGGGTATGCAGCTTCCTCTCACTCCCAAAAAATGTCCGTAGACCTCAGGCTGTGGGGAGACGTTTGCTGGTGATGTCCTGGAGCTGTTGATGTAGGCCACCAGAGAGGTTGGAGATGTACGGATGATTGTATTGAAGTCAATACCAATGCCGTCAGACAGAGGAGATAGAGAGAGTGTTCTCTTTTTGGAGCGGACTGGTTGAGACTGGGTTGAGGAATGGCAAGGACTAGAGTAAGGGGAATGCTTATTTTCCATGCCATATAAGTAGGACGGTAATGAGTTACAGACGCAGTTACCGGACACAGATGTTCCAGGTGAAAAATTTAGAAAGTCACCCAGCTCACTGACATTTTGTAAACCTTGGTCAGGAGGAACAACAGGAAGCGTCTTGTACCCATGCGACCACTCTTGCTTAACACTCAAAGTGGACTGACTTTCTGACAAACTTAACGTTGTAGAGGCCAGAGACTCGGCTGACAAGAGTGACCTAGAATAAAGGCACAATAAAGTAAGTAAGCAGTTAGACAATTCAACAGTGGTTCTTCTGTCTTCACACACAAATAAAATTAAAGAAAGGCTACATGTGAGAAAAGTTCTCCCTAATTCTAGGTATTCAACACTCTCAAAGTACCAGCAGACATACACAGGCAATACATATGTAACAAGGTCATTTAGGAAACCAGCTTTAAAATGCCAAGATTTTGAAAAAAATTTGCTGTAAAGGTTCTTGATACATCACTGCAGAAATCAATGCAATTTTTTTCATCAGCTCTGGTGCAAATAGGTTTGGGCTTCTGAAGCCGAAGCTCCTGCTTTGTATGAAACTCCTATTGATTTGAGTTAACTATTCTTTTCGCTGGCAAAGAACGGGAAGAAAACTGATTAATAAAGAATAAATATTTAACCTGAATGACTTTGCCAATTGTAATGCATACAAATAGTATTCTCTACAGAAATAGCTCAAGTTTATAAATACTGATAATATCTAACTTTACAAAACAAACAAAATAAATGAATAATGTAGAAGAACTGGTTGAAGGGGTTTACTTAGTTCTGATTTGGTGATGTATCTGCCTCCAAGTCAGCAATCAAAATTTTTCATGAAAAGTGTAATCTTGCTGTTATCGTTGGTTTTTCACAGAAATATTATGAAACTTGTTTATGCCGCAAATATCCTACAGGTAGCTTAAAAAATAATTCATAAGCTCTTAACAATATTGTTTTCTACAGAAAGGTTTAAAAAGGAAATACAAGGACATCAGGGTCTCTGATTCCTGGGCGCAAATGCTGGGTAGAGGCCAAGTGGATTTATGTCTTTATGTTTCCAGTTCACACCTTGGCAGAGTTGGATTTGCTGCCAGCCAGTGGTGCTATCAGTATATTAATTTCCATTTTTTAGGGGTCTAACAGCAGGAAGAAGCAGGTATGGATCTAGACAAACCTGGAAATCTCACAGTCTCTGCATCTTATGTTTTGGGGATTAATTTCTGGGTTTATTATTTTCACAATACACTTTTGAATAAGCATAGAATTTAAATGGTGGATCAAGTACATAGGAAATTTAGTCTCTCTTCTAAATCTAAAATACATTTTTTAAGATGGACAATTCAATCACTGCTTCTCAGCTTCTCACATAAAAAACAAGATACACAATAGTGCCTCCTAGGTGGTCAAATTAACTTAAAAAAAGACAGCTAATAAGTATTAATAGGTATTTTAAATACCGGGTGTTGAAAAGTATTTCTGAAAGCTAAGTAAACAGTATATGAAATATTTACATGCAATAATCCAAAGGAACTGTCATGTATGCAAGAAATAATGTATTCTTATTTACAAAGGTAAGTTCATATAGTCAGTTATTTATGTTTATTTTACTGCATGGTTTTATAGTGCTACAAACTTCAAATTTCTAAAAGAGTATGCATCATAAAATTCTAAAAACAAATCTCATCTCTTTTTTGATACAGACAGTTACAGCAAACGCCTTTGAGGAGGCACTTCTACGTATTTTACTTGCTGCTTTTTTTTTTAATAGGGGAGCAAGTTTTGATGCCTACTTATGGTAAGCAATATTGCAGTTGCTTCTCAGTTGTGCAAGATTTTCTTATAGACACTGCTTCAGGAAATAGGGATCCACAGGACAGATCTGTTAAGGGTCATAATTGTGTTGTATGTCTGCCCCACAGTCCTACTGCAGTGACTGCAGCTTTGGTGGAGATACATGAAACTACTTAATTTAAGAATTAGTGGTAGGCTAAAACTGGGGATCTGAATCTGATTTAAAACTACATCAGTCAACCCAAGAGGAACAGATTCTAAACAATGGCTCTGGAGATATTCCCAGTGAATATGGCAATATTTACCAAATTTCCATGATTTTGCTTGGTAAATCAACTTTTCATCTCTGAGATGTGTGGATTATCTTTCAGTTAGATCAGCAAGGTTAAAAGAATATATGGAAACGCTAGGTAAAGTCATTCAGGCAAGAGAAACATATATAGCTTTCCATGTTCAGTTCTAGCCACAGAGGCTAAAGCTGAAAAATCACAGTGTCTGTATTACCTTATTCTGCCCACCACATGACCACCACACTCCCTGAGTGATCGTTTTTTTCCGACTACTTGATATTACAGCATTTTCCAGCACTGGAGAGTCAACCAACATGAAGAAAGAGAAGTCAGTTTGCAGTGAAGGGCTGGATCATGCTGCAAGAACACAGCCCAGTCATTGCCAAAGAGCTGGAGGAGGAGAATTGGCATCATGGCTGCCCCTTCAGCCCCTTTTTGTCTAGTTGGGAAGGTTGGCATAGGCTAAGGGAGAGAAGATGTAGTTTGCAGGTGCCACATCTGTACACTGAGATAGCTCACAAACAGCAAAAATGTAGCTTTAAATATCACCCAGCCTTGCTGTGGTGACATATGGGATAGATAGGTAAACAGTCCTTTGCTCAAGTCCTTTGCTTTTTAACGGATGGTTGATTTGCTGTATCAGAATAAGAAACATCCTGTCCAGGCTGAATGTCAATATACGGTACTGTTATGGAGATTATGTTATTCCATCAGGGTTTAAATGGCACTTTCAAAACAGAGCACTGATGAAAAGCACAATTAACATGCTGACTACAATTTGCATTGAGAGAAATAAGAAAAATGAGATTGTTATATCAGGTCAATCTTGTGTAAGATTTAGATCTGAAGGAATTATTTGTGGGAAAAAAAAAAATATTCAGGCTGTTGGGTCTGTTATCAACAGGCTTTGTTACAGCACAGTTCATTATAGGCCAGTTAAATCACATTAGCATGTTGTGACTCCAAATGCAGATCCACAGTCTTCATCAGAGCAAGGAAAGTAAGTAAGGTTTGATTTTTCCAGGCTAGGCTACATATATATTTATATCTGGAAAATATAAATAGGGGAGTTTATGCCAGCTTGATTAAATTTATAAGTAGGGAAAAAAAATCATGCATCAATATAACAAGTCTATTTTTGTAACATCAGGAATTTTAATCAGACGCATAGTAGAACCATGTCATTCAAAAAGCTACTAATGCCTAACACAAAGGGGCATTCCCATCAGTGAAGCTGAAGAAAAACTGCATTTTCAGAGTCTCATAACAAGAAAAAAATAAAAAGTTGGCCCAGAATGTCAAGTATACAATAAGTAAGAGCCAGATAATCTGAAGAAGCCTGGTTCTCACTTAAGCCTCTAAATTCAAAAGTAACAAAGATTCCTGCTCCCAAAACAATTTCTTTAAAACCCAGCCTACGCTGTGACTAGTTTTCTGGGGGAAAATAAATATACCTAAAATGAAAATGAAAGGCTAGGTATACCTCTGAGATGGTATTAATTGGGACGTCTGTTTATTGTAACCTAAACCACCTTGAATTTGACTAGATCTTTTATGAACATTTACAAGAGATTTCTGCAATTACTTTCTATTCTCACTCTGTGTTCAGAGGCCACAGTGTCCAGTATAACCCAGAATCTTAAACATAACATGGAAGAGTGAAAACTATGTCTTCTTATCTTTTTACATGGTCTTCTGTTTTACTAGCCTAGTTTGCTCTTTCCTAGGTCCTTTTCCTACTTGCATCAAAGTAAACGGCAGTATTACATCTGGTTTCAAGCAGCACAACCGAATAATCTGAAAAAGGTTTTGGGAAACTCCCTCTCAAAAAAAAAAAAAAAAAGGGAAAGGTTTTACCCGCCACGGTCTGTATACCAAAATCTGATGCTATCTGTAGCAAAACTCCATTTTTGCCAACCTTCTTCTTTCTTCCAATAGTAAAATCAAGACAAATTGTTTTGATTTGGGTCAATTCAGCAAATAATCTGGTTTGGATTGAGCTGCCAGAGCACAGTTCATGATGCCCAAGAGATACAATGCAGAGAAGGCACTCAGCCCATGAAGGATTATGGAGTCATCTTAGGCAATCAGTTTAGGCAAATGCAGTTTATTGCTGCAGCAATTTTTTTTTTTTTTTTTTTTTTTGGGGGGGGGGGAAGTGTTTCCACAATCTGTGAATGAAAATCTGACTTTAAACCTGTCTTGCCCTATAAAATAGTCAATTTGAGGGCAAAATTGCTGAAATGGACATTCTTTGTGTGACAAACTGATTTTATAACAACTTCATTGATAAATCATTAAAAGAGACTCTAGGGACCCTAGAGCCTCAATTCTGCAAGAGTTTCAACCTCAGTTTGCCCTTAGTAAATGTTTCTTTAAAATAAAACCAAAAATGTATAACTCAGTACTGTCATAGTACACCCCACCACACATTCAGATAAAAATAACAGTGTTTGGAACCACACAGGCGCACCTAAAACTTATTAAATAAGTAGTAATTACATAATGATATTTTTATATCACCAGGTTTGTTCTGTCGCAAAGACATGTCCCTGGATTTGTCATTTGTCATCATCTTAGCACTGAATGTTTTACTCTGATATGTTTACATAAGAAGCATAATTATTTTCTTAAATTGTCCTAAGGGACTGGGTCTTCTCAACTGAAGTGACAGACATGTCACAAACTATCTTATAGTAAAGCAAGGTTTTCTTCCAGTTACATAATAACAACTTTAATTATTTCAAGAACATTCCTTGGCTTGTAATAAAGTGCTATAGTAAAATGTAAACTGTTGTGGAGAATAAAGACTCTTGTGGCCTTTTGTAAATAAGAACAGTTACATTTCAACTCAGAGGGCAACTGTTGCACGACTCACATCTACAAAAGTGGGAAGTAGCTTCTGAAATAACACACCAGAATGTTTTCTCACTGTATGTTTAACTAATATCCAGGGATGTGCTTAATGTATTTGCACGGAGGTTGTGAAATGCCTGTCTTCCCTTCATTCATGTTTGTCAACAATACTCATAGCCATAATCTCAAAAGTGATTTAAGCATTTAAAAATTAAATTAACAAACATTTATCTCTGGTTTAGTGATATAAAAAGGCAACATTTACAGGGAGAGGCCATAGTTTATATTAAACTACCCACCAGAGGTAGGAAAATGAACAAGTTTTCAGGGACACAAGTCTAACACAGATAAAGTTAACTGCTGGCTCAGTGCAGACTGGGAAAAATTGATCTGATTAACTTAATTATGTAAACAAACAATTTGAAAGCAAAGGTATTCGATGAGGAGCGAGCAACGTTAGAAGACATTTAAGTTTACTTTGTCTGATATTAGTGTTACTTGACAGGCACCAACATAACACTATGGTAAGCTTAAAACAGGTCACTGCCCCTGAAGATGTAACATGTGGACTATTTCTGCTTTCACCCTCCGTAACATTTCCTGTCTTTAGTACAAAGACAGAGTTAAATGACTATAAAAATCTTTATCTAACAAAAAAGCCCTACTGAACATAGAAAATGTGTGGCCAAATTTCACCCATGATTTGAATGACCCAAACAGTATGATTATAGCTAATGTGAATTCAATTGTGTTGAATTAAATTTCCCACGGCATAATAGAACATCATTTAGGCCGTTTTAATCAAAAGAAAGGTTGCATTTAAATTACAGGAGAATTAAAATAATATAAAAAAGTTACTCAGGACCTTGTATCTGATGGAGAAGCACTCAGGCTGGAAGCATCCATAAAACCCTGTAAGCTAGGGCTGGTCTGGTTGCATGCTGCTGAAACCAGATTAGCAGGAGGTGAAACAGGTCCCAGCTGCTGAACTGTCATGGGACTGCTGGTGATTTTGTTGCAGATGCCTTTTCCAATGGACTTGCACCGGGGTCCATAACCAAGATCTAAAAATAAACAAGGCAGGTTAGTATTCATCTCCCATGAACCCATAATGAGGCTACAGAACTCACATCACTTTGTAAAGTAGGAAAAGTGACTGGAACTGAGTATCTTCAGATAAGGATGAAACAGGGGACCAATACAAGGATTTTGCAAACTTATCTGAACACAAAAAAGCAGTATTTTAAAGGAAAATTAATAAATTATGCATGTTTAAAATGTATGCTGAAGTACCTAAAGACCAGGCATCATGGATAAACATCAGGGAAAAAACCCACTGGAAGAGTCCTGGTAAAAGAGCAGCCCTCAGCTGAGGGACAGCCAAGCCATAAGCTTTCTCTGAAGGAGGAGGGAAGAGAAAACCCAAGGAGGGTGAAGGAACCCCACTATGCATTGAATCCTGCTGACCCCCACAGCTCCAAGCCATTGCAAGCCCTTCCAACATTCCTACCACTGGCCATCCAAAAAGCAAGGGGACTGCAGGCATGCGTGCACATTGCAACCCCTGCAATAGGTCTGGTGTGCTGGATCGCACGGGCTGCATGTGTCCCCTGGCAGGAGAGAGTTACGGCTGGAACCCAGCATTCCTCAGAGGTCTGTGGAGAGGAATTTGAGCTGGATCAAGCAGAAAGCATTCTGCACTTTCTTTAAAAGGCCACAACCTGCTCTTAATCGCTGCTGCCATGACTCAAACTAATGGCTATTGCACAGTGGTATGAGACGATTACAGAGGCAGCTGGGAAGTGGGACAAACCGGCAAAATGCTCTGTGTACTTTGTGCTCTGATTTAGGTCACAGATGGTGGTTTACAAGATCCCCTGCATTAAAACACATCAAGATTAAAATGTACATGGTAATATGGAAGTTGTTGGATATCTAGCAAATTCTCATCACAGTTGGAAATTAATAATTAGATGATTCACATTTCTAGCTGCTTCCCCATGTTCAGACCACTCTCTCAAGCAGGATAGCAACATCAGGACAAATAGTGAAAAGTACTTAAATTTAAACCATTTTCTGAATTAAATCTACTTTTGACTTGCTTCTACAACTCACATACTAGTTTTTCTCAAGGATGTTCAAATGGGTAGTGAACTTCACAAAGAAGTACATTAAGGCATTTATGGGCCTCACAGTCACAGGAAGAAAATCCAACTCCTTCAATCTCCTCCAGATCAAATAGGATTATCTTTAAAAATTGCAATTAACTCTAAAAAAATTGCAAATTATAGCTTTTTTTTTTTAAAAAAAAAAGAGAACAAATAGGTATCTCTGCAAACAAAGCAGGACTTGTGGGTGATGTGATGGCTGGAGGCTGTCTTGGGCATAGCTATCATGAAATGATAGAGTTTTTTATTCTTGGAGAAGTAAGGAGGAGGGTCAGCAGAACTGCCACCTTGGACTTCTGGAGGGCAGACTTTCGCCTGTTTGGGAACCTGGCTGGCAGAGTCCCTTGGGAGGCAGTC